CCCGCAGCCCGCCAGGCCGCTCCCCCCGCTCACGGGAAGCCCCCTGGACCGAAAGTCTGAAGCCGCAGCCAGTTCGGGAGGGAACAGACCTAATCCCTTCAGTGTACCCGTCGGTCGGAAGAAGTAGGCAGAAGCATGAAGTAGGAAGGCGGATATAGTGGATTGGGCCCAGGTCCTCCCAGAGAATGACAAAACACAGCAAAAGCATGCCGACTCTTGAGGTAGGAAGGCGCTTGAAGTAGGTTGGGATCTGGGAATCCAACAATACCCACTTTCAACGACCGGCGTGTAAGCTTTGCTCTTGGGAAGGAGCGTTGGGTCCACCTGCGCCCCCTGGGGCCTCGGTGCTGCGGAAAGACCGCAGGTCCGGCCCAGCGCACGAGCTTGACGGAAACCAGGGGGCCAGTCACTGCAGTGGGGCCGAGCAAGGCCCCGAGCTTGAACTCAGCTCTGCCTGTGGAGGCGGCGGGGGGAGCTATCTGGCGGTGTACGGGGGGGGGGCGATGTCTTGCCTGCATAAAAATTAAGTTGGGGGTGTCCCACTACAGGCGGATTTTGGACGAAAAATAAAGACATGTCAACAGATATACAAAAAAGTGAAACTAGTAGAAAAATCGTCCCCGGACTATTTTTTCAACTATGGAAGGACAGGCCCGACCGACTTAAGCATAAGAGTGAAGCGATCGATTTATATGATCGGTGGATCGGCGGCTGCACTCGACCATGTCGATCACCATGGGAGACAACTTGGGTGCCCATGGACGCCGCAGGGGCCCTGTCTCACGGCCCGAGCGCAGCGCAGCAGTAGATGATGGTTGTGATGGGAGCATGCGCGAGGTGGTGGTGGAAGCATGGAGGATAATCACCAAGATTACCTTCAAGACTCAACTAGAAGAAGAAAAACGCCATAAACATAAGCGTTTGGCCCTCCGGCGCCGGGGAGGGGGGTCCAGCGCAGATCCAAGAAATCCGCGCGGAGCGCCAAAAGTTTATGTTTACGTCGTTTTACCTTCCTCGATCAACTCCTCAGGAGGGCAGGCACGAACAGAGCGGGGGAAGCACAGTTGCGCGGCCGAACACGTTCACACGAAAATGGGAGCCGACACAGCACGGCGACAACACCACAAAGCAAAACTTAAAAAACCTCCGTGCGGCCAGGCAACTTAAAAGGCGGAAGTTTCGCCTTTCGCCCAATTTCAGCAGGCCCGAAGGCCGCGATCATGCCCTTCCGCGCAGCCTCAGCTCGGATACGAACACCCCCCAAACGTGCCTCAATGAGGTCGAGACCCTGAAACACCCACGGCGACCAGGCGGGTCAACTGGCCCGTGTAGACACGGTGCCCAGAACCACCCCCGCCAACCCTCTAAACGGGGGAAACGTCCTAAGGGTGGGTGGTATCGATACCTCTTCCTCCTCTGAGACTCGAGGAGGCCTAGACAATATAGCACCCGAAGGGATCGATGATCCTCAGAACGTGTCTTAGCGCCAACGTGTGCTCATCTACGGAGGCCCTTCAAAACGACGCAGGCGGCGCGCTATCGGCGGGGCCGAGCGGGGTGAACACACGCTTCGGCTAACACGCGTCCTGAGGATCATCGACCTGGAATCGGCGATACAGCCGGGGCCTTGACCTAAGGAACCCTAAATAGGGAACGAGGCCCCTGTTTCCCATACGTTAGACTTCGAGGTCCAATGGAAGACCTCAGGAAAACCTGAGGCAAACTGTTCAACACTCAAGGAACACCGAGGCCCTCCCCAACGAAAAGGGTTCCTTCTTCAGCGCCCCGACTGTGATCATCGCCGCTAGATCGGCGACGTGCCCCCGATGGCGAAGCCGCACGCTCCTGGGAGGGCGGGGGCTGTCGGGAACCTGTCGGCGAGGCATGGGCGATCGAGGATCGATGCGTGCCTTCGGATCCTCTCTCCCACGACGTTGCACCTGACCTTCCGCTCCCCGGTTTTCTGGCCATACAGTCGAGGCGTTGGCCTAAGGAACCCTAAATAAGGAACGAGGCCCCTTTTCTCCATAAGTCAAACTTCGACTTCCCCTCGACAACTTAAGGAAAACCTCAGGCAAGGTGTGGAACAATTAAGGAACACCGAGCCCCTCCCCAACGCAAAGGGTTCCTTCTTCAGCGCCCCGACTGTAGCTCTGCTCTCAGGCGGCCGTTCGGGACGATGCTGCCACCCCCGGAACGCTCTCGATCAGGCGCAGCTGGTGGAAACCGCCCCTGGCCTCGAAAACTCGAGCACTCAAGAAAAGCACTGCACCAAACTCTGAAGACCCCAGGCCCAAACTCGAAAGACCCCTGCGCCCCTGTGCCTGTCCTCCCCTACAAGGAGGCTGGGAAAAGTGGAAATTGGGGACTCCGTCAAAGTGGAAGTGGCTAGGGTCGGAAAAACCAGCAAGGGATGCGACGAACACGAAGGAGTTGGGATGAGGTCGCCGGGGCTCCCCCGAAGACACCAATAACTTCTCAGAAGGCGCAAGGGCTTTTGAGAAGCCCCGCCGCCTTCGGAGAAGGCCTCCTCCTTCTCAATTCCCCCCCAGGCGCGCCGCCGCATTTGGCCTTTGGGTCATAACTCGGGTCTCCGGTGGCCGTTCGGGACGACCCGGGCATCCGCGGAACGCTCTCGGCGAGGCGCAGCCGCTGGAACGCATCCCGATGGCGGAAGAGACCGCCGAGAAGTTGCGAAAATGTCCGAAAACCTCGAACCTCGAAGCTCGAAATTCCCCCCTGCACGGCTTTCCCTGGGGCCATAGGCGACCCGAGGAGGAGGAGGAGGAAGGCGGAGGAGGAGGAGTAGGGGGATGAGGAGGAGGAGGAGGAGGAGGAGGAGGAGGAGGATGAGGAGGAGGAGGAGGGGGAGGAGGAGGAGGACGAGGAGGGGGAGGAGGGGGAGGAGGGGGAGTAGGGGGATGAGGAGGAGGAGGAGGAGGAGGAGGAGAGGAGAGGAGGAAGGAGGAGGAGGAGGAGGAGGAGGAGGAGGAGGAGGAGGAGGAGGAGGAGGAGGGGTCGCCCAAGCCCTTCGGAGAAACCCTCCCCCCCCCTCGCTCGCCGCCGATCACCCCAGGCGGAGCAGGCCCCCGCGGCCCCCGGGCGCTCCGCGCCCGCTGCAGGCCCGCGGCCGCCGGCGCGCGGCGCGGGCCGGCGGCGGGGCTCTGCGCCCTCGCCGGGCCTGCGTCGGGGGGCGGCGGTGGCCTCCCCCCCCCATCCCCTCGTCCTCCTCCTCCTCGTGAAGTCTGGGGGGGTCTATCCTGATATTCTTTTCGAACGGAGACTCCTATGTTGTGCAATCTACGCTGTGAGTTCTATGCGGTGCAACCCACATTGACCGTCTTGAAGTTGTCCTCTCCACTGCTCGCGCAAACATCCCACCCACCCACCCGCAACTTGGTTTGCAAAACCTCTTAAGACCGACTACGACGACACCGACGACAACGACTACGACGACACCGACGACGTCTCCGACGACTTCGACGACGACACGACGCCGACGCCGACGACGACGAAGACGACGACGACGACGCCAACGAAGGCGACGACGAGGGAGGAGGAAGGACGACGACGGCGACAACGACGACAACGACGAGGGAGGAGGGAGGACGACGACGACAACGACGACGACGACGGCGACGAAATAGGAGGGACGACGACGAGACGCCGACGACGGACAACGACGACGACGTGGGAGGAGGAGGAAGGACGACCACGGCGACAACGACGACGGAAACGACCACGACGCCAAAGAGGACGACGACGACGAACACGAGAAAAGACAGAGGACGACGTAGGCGACGACGACGACGCGGGAGGAGGGAGGGCGGCGACGACGACGACGACGACGCAAGAGCGCGCGCGCACGCTTTTTTTGAACATCCATGTTGCGAAACCTTGGGTTTTTGAAGTTTTTTGGGGCGCACGATTTTGAAATCCTTCCGAAACCGATGGGTTTTGAAGGTTTTCGGCATACGCCCGCGACGACGCGCGCGTCTGCACTTCGTCCAATCTTTTGCAGAGGATTCTCGTGACGGCACACGCGCAAGGGCGTTCAACAGATTTCGACATGCGCGCGCGCGAAGCCCGTTTGGTAGTATTTTGTGAAAATCTTGAAAAGCCTATGGTTTTCTTAAGATTTCGCAAGAGCTCGCGCGGAAACTTTTTTAGCAAATCAATGTTGCGAAGCCATGTGTCGTTTTAATGTTCTTTGGAAACTCGATTGCGAAATCCTTCCGGCACCGAAGGTTTTTGAAGGATTTCGGCATACGCGTGCGACGACACGCGCGTGTGCACTTCGTCCCGTTTTTTGCAAGGGATTCGCGAAAAACTGTTATGTTAGAACGAAAAATGTCACCGCATTGTGTCTTTTACAAGGGAACCTCAGGGGGGAAACCGGCCTAGCTGGGATGATATGAATTCATATTTAGGATGGACGAATGTGCAGAATATATATATATATATATATATATATAATATATATATATGAAATTATACTATCCCAGGGGGAACCGATATGTCCGGGAGGGGGGTAGAGTCTATTTTCTTTTTAGAAAGGAGAATTGATTGATTTTTACCCATGACTTGACACATCCCACGCTCTGCAAACATCCCACCCACCCACCCGCAACTTGGTTTGCAAAACCTCTTAAGACCGACTACGACGACACCGACGACAACGACTACGACGACACCGACGACGTCTCCGACGACTTCGACGACGACGACAACGACGACGACGCCGACGACGACGGCGACGACGACGGCGGCGACGACGACGACGCCGACGTCGACGACGACGAAGACGACGACGACGACGACGCCGACCACGACGACGATGACGACGATGACGTTGCTAACGAAGAAGACGACGACCAGGGAACGACGACGGCGACAACGACGACAACGACGACAACGACGACAACGACGAGGGAGGAGGGAGGACGGCGACGACGCGAACGACGAAGAAGAAGGAAGGACGGCGACGCCGACGACGACAACGACGACGACGACGACGGCGACGAAATAGGAGGGACGACGACGAGACGCCGACGACGGACGACGACGACGACGAGGGAGGAGGAGGAAGGACGACCATGGCGACAACGACGACGGAAACGACCACGACGCCAAAGAGGACGACGACGACGAACACGAGGAAAGACAGAGGACGACGTAAGCGACGACGACGACGCGGGAGGAGGGAAGACGGCGACGACGACGACGACGCAAGAGCGCGCGCGCACGCTTTTGTTGAAAATCAATGTTGCGAAACCTTGTGTTTTCGTACATGTTTTTTTGGGGCCCTCACGGTTTTGAAACCCTTCCGAGACCGATGGGTTTTGAAGGATTTCGGCATACGAGCGCGCGACGACGCGCGCGTCTGCACTTCGTCCGTCTTTTTTGCAAAGCATTCTCGCGACGGCACACGCGCAAGGGCGTTGGACAGATTCCGACATGCGCGCGCGAAGCCCGTTTGATAGCATTTTGTGAAAATCTTGAAACACCCATGGTTTTCTTAAGATTTCACAAGAGCTCGCGGGTAAGCTTTTATAGCAAATCAGTGTTGCGGACTTTTTTTTTTTGGTTTTTATTTTGTTGTTTGAAAAAAAAACAACTCGATTGCGAAATCCTTCCGAGACCATTGCGAAATCCTTCCGAGACCAAAAAAGTTGTTGAAGGATTTCGGCATGCGCGCGCAACGACGCGCGCGTGTGCACTTTGTCAAATTTGTTGCAAAGGATTCGCGAAACAAAATCTTATGCTAGAGCAAAAGATGTCCCAACGTATTGTTCTTTACAAGGGAACCTCCGGGAGACCGATACCGGCTCCCCGGGAATAGTGTAAATTCATATGTAGGGTGGACATGTTGTCATAATCATATATGATTTACATACCCGAAAGGGGGGCGGCGAACGCTTGGGGGGGGTGAGTCTACTCTCTTTTTAGAAAGGAACTTGTCAACTCCACTGCCCGCTCAATCATCCCACCCACCCACCCGCAACTAGCTTTGCAAAACCCATGCGGCGGCGATTGTTATCGGCGGCGATTGCGATGACTGCTTCGCGCTGGCTGGCACGTAGCTGCGGTTATGTTAGCGCGCGCAGGCTCGCGCGCAGAGCGGCCAGTCAGTCTGGCGCGATCGACGCGGCCGCGGCCGCTGGCGTCTCCCCAACGTGTCTCGCAAGCCACGCTGACGCGCTGGCACTTCCGTGCGAGTCGGTGACTCGGGCGGGCGCGGTACCATCGCGACGGCAACAGCGGCAGACGCGATGATGATACCAATGATGCTTGTGACGATGATGACGGGGAAAACGGCAAGGCCAATTGCGGCGCCGATGCTGATCACGCCTGTGACGATGATAGTGTCCACGTGTCGGTGATGAAGGTTTTGAAAAGATTGCGCGCGCGGCCGATGGGCGAGAGCGGCCCGCAGGATACTAGTCTTAAAAGATCGTGCTCCCCCGCGGCGCGCGTGCAAGGGCGTCGGAATGATTTCGGCACGCGCGCGCGAGACGCCTCTATGGTCGAGAAACACATGGTTGTCTTACGAATTCGTAGGAGCGCGCGCAAACTGTTTTGGAAAACCATGCTGCAACACCATGGTTCAATTATCGGTGTTTTCGGGGCGATCGGTCGTGACATCCATACGACACCTAATGTCTTTGACGGATTTCGGTATGCGCGCACGACGACGCGCGCGTGTGGATTTCGTAAACGCTTTGCTCAAGGGGCTCTTGACAACCAAGCATTTTTGACAAATGCGCGCGCGAAAGACTGTTTGCAAGGGATGAGTGGGGGTATCGAGTCTGGCCGGTCTGGAATCATATGATTTCGTATGTAAAACGAACGATGGGGCAGAATCGTGTGTCAATTGCACATCCCCAGGGGGATGAGACTGGGGGGGAAAGACGGTAGATCCGAATTCTTTCTTGGAGACGAGAATATATGCGAGGCGGCGACAGCGAGCATGGAATCGCCAGACTGCCAGCCAGGCCCCGTTCTTTAGAAAGGAAGGGGCAACCCCTAAGCGCAAACACTGTTTGGCGCAAAAGCTTGCGAAGGTCCGCGCTGACTTCTCGGATCGGGCGAGGCCTGCGTCCCGCACTTCCCAAGTGGTGGCGCCGATGCGTAGGGAGGCTGCTTCACGGATGGGACAAACCCCGTCCTCATGAACTCAATCTTCTTGAGGGGCCTGCCGACGGTCATTTCGTACTTCACCGCCGTGACCCGCGCGGGAAGAAACGCGATTGGGGAAACTAAAAAGTACCGATGCCGCTATTGCCCGGACCTCTCCAGGGGTGCGCTCTGACCAGAACGTCGAGGCGAATCCAGCGGTAGCGACAAGGGCCTCCCCGGAGGCCTAAAAACAGAAAAAGGATGGAAGGGTAGCCTTATGGGTGCCTTTTCCTCCTCTGAGTGTCGCGTACCTGACCAAGGACGGGAACGGGCCGTGACGCAGGTCATCGGCCCTCCTACCCATGGCCATGCCTTTGCCCTTGCCCCTGCCCACGACCACACATCCTCGAGGATCCGATGTCCCTCTCCACCAACTTTTAGGTCGGGCATGTCTTCCTACTGGCGGATTGTTTGTTTGGAAGAAAAATAAGCCTTGTCTGAACATGATCAAACAGGGCCAAAAGAGCACGAGAGCTCGTCACCATACTACTTTGTTTGCTATTCTTGAGTATTCCCCGCTCTAGAGGGCCAGGAGGAGGAGGAGGAGGAGGAGGAGGAGGAGGAGGAGGAGGAGGAGGAGCCCATCCCCGAGCGCCTGCGACAGATGCGCGGGCGGTGGCGGCGGCCCTGCGGGCGAGGGACGCACCCTTCCCCCAGAGGCCGCTGGCGAGGGGGGAGCGGGCTATAGAGCAGAGGAGGATCAAGGAGGACGGGAGGGGGAGGTGGAGGGTGAAGAGGCTCGAGTCCTCCTCCTCCTCCTCCTCCTCCTCCATCCTCCCTCCATCCTCCCCATCCTGCGAGATATAGAGCGGATAGGGAGGGCAGGAGGGCGAGGACGACGAAGAGAGCGAGACGGAGAAGGAGCGAAACGAGGAGGGGGTGGGGCAGGATGGGGAGGATAAAGAGAGGATGGAGGGAGGATGGAGGATGGAGGATGGAGGATGGGGGATGAGGAGGAGGAGGAGGAGGAGGAGGAAAAGGAGAAGGAAGAGGATGATGAGGAGGAAGACTCCTCGAGCCTCTTCACCCTCCTCCACCCCCTCCCTTCCTCCTTGATCCTCCTCCCCCTCCGCCCTATCCTCCTCCTCCACCTCCTCACTGTCCCTCGGGCCCATCTGTCCTGCCGCTGCCGCTGCCACCGCCGCCCTCGTCTTTAGCGCCGCTGCCCTGCCCACCGAGACGCCGCCGAGGACGTCGACGACGACGCTGCCCGAGGACGCCGCCGCCAGCCGCCGAGGACGGCGACGACATCGGCGACGGAGACATCTGGAGGTCTCTCGAGGTCCCGAGAGGTCTAATAGAGGCCCAGACATGGCACAAAAGATCACGTGGTCATGTGTGTATGTAGCTGCCCCGATACGCAACATGTCGCCCGTAGCGTGTTGGCACGGAGCCCAACACGCGGACTGAAAAGGTCTGGCGCGACACGGACGCGATAAAGTGGCCCAACACGTGCCGAGCCAACCCGTAGCGTGTTGACACTGACGCTTTGAAGGCGGTACGTCTTGCGCTTCAAAACGGCGTATCGGGACAGCTAAAGATATGTACGCATGAATCAAAGGAGTCCTTCTCAACAAAAAACGAAGACGGCGGCGGCGGCGGAGGACTATAACGACGACTCGGACGACGACGACGACGACTCCGACGACGACGACGACTGCGGCGGCGGCGAGCGCCTCGCGAGATGGCATAGCGCGCTCACGCCGCAGCCCACGCAGGCCGCCCGCGCGGCGCGCTGTATCGGAAACGGGAGCGCTCACGCGCGTCCTTACGCGGGCAGCGGACGCGCCAGTGTCGGTGAGGACGACCTCGTTCCCCTGTGTCGACCACGTGCTATATATGTATGTGTGCACAAAGGCAGCCAACCTCACCGACAAACCTAAGACGACGGCAGCGGCGGAGGACCATGACGATGATGCGGACGACGACAACGACGACGACGGCGGCGGCGGCAGCGACGCCGCCGCCGCCACCGTCGTCGTCGTCGTGGTCGTCGTCGTCGTCGTCGTCGTCGTCGCCGTTGTCGTCGTCACCGTCGTTGTCGTCGTCGTCGTCGTCGTCGTCGTCGTCGTCGTCGTCGTCGCCGTCGCGGCGGCGGTGGCGAGCGCCTCGCGCGCTCTGGCGGCGTGGCCCTCGGGGAGGGCCAGGCGGCGTGGCGGGGCGACGCGCTGGGCGCGGGGGCTTCGGCTGGGCGCGGGCCTGGGGCAGGCAGGAGGTCAGCGGACGACGACGCGGACGACGCGGACGACGACGACGACGACCAAGACGACGACGACGACGACGACGACGACGACGACGACGACGACCAAGACGACGACGACAACGACGACGGCGGCGGCGGCGGGATGTCCAGGATTTCCGCCGACCTGCAAAAAGGGGCGATGGTTCGGGTGAATACCTAAAACCTTGGGCCTACAGGGTTGTTTTAACCATGTGAGCATTCTGACCTTGACACTGCCTTGCTTCAAACACCTGGGACCACCCATTTTACATTCGGGCGCTATGGGGCCCGTAAGGAGGCAATATGAGGTCCTGAGAAGGGCTTCCTGAAGGGCCTGTACACTCCTATGGGCTCTCACACGTCTACGCTCCTCCTTGGTCTCCTCGTCCTCCTGCGGGAAGAGGTCCTGATGCTCCCAGTGAACCTGGATGGCCGAGAGACGGTCTCGGATCATGTCAGCTCGAATGCCCGCTCCCTGGATCTGGCGGGCAAGCTGGGGAGGGACTCTGCGTCGCCGAGCGGCACAGCTTGCGATCTGGTGACCTCCGAGTTTTGATGCTTCTGTCATTGCTTGCTCCCCCGAAGACGGCTCTGGCCTGAAGTCGGGCCTGTCCCCTTACAGGAGGAAAATGCAAACATAGTCAAAGAGTTACATGGGGACGATTCTTTTGATAATGTTAAGAACATTTTTTGATTGTGTTGGGAATCTTTAGTTTTTCCTCCAGAATCCGCCTGCAAGGGGGTCACGCCCGACGGGCCTTGGCTTCGCCGCGGGAGGCAGCACCGACTTCCTCGAGGCGTGCCCGGGGCTCCCGCCTCGATGGGGGCCCTCCCGGGGCCCCCATCGAGGCCCCCTCGGGGGCCGCGCCAAGGGTATCTCGTGCTGCTCGGCTCGGCGGCGAGCGAGGGGCGGAAGTGAGAAGGGGACCTCTCAAAGCCCTCGCGCCTCCCGAAAGGTTCCCTGCGTCCTCGGGGAAAGCTCACATCGAAGGCACGCCTCAGAAGGCCAGGGGACCCTCCCGAGCCTTCCGAGGAGGCCCGCCCCTTACTCGCTGCCCCCCCCTCGCTCGCCGCTGAGTGGCAGGGGGCCTGGGACACACAAATAAATACACACAAATAAAAAGATCCCCCATATTTTCCCATATTATTTTCTTGGTTTTTGTCTTGCCCCCCACTGCCCATCTTTTCCCATATTTTCGGGGGGAATCTACGATTAATTGTGTCTGTGTGTTTCTTTCCCTCCTGAGATTGGCAGCAGGGGGCCTGGGGCTCCTCCAGAGCCGCCCCTGCTGCAGCAGGGCGCCTCGGCCCTCGGAGGCGCCCGCGCGCCGTGGCCTCGGAGCCGCCCGCGAGCCGCCGAGGCCCCCAAGGGCAGGGCCTGCCCGAGGCAGGCCTGCCCGCCGCCCGCGGGGTCCGCGAGCTCGCGGCAGGCCCAAGCACGGGAGGGGCGCAAGGGGGGGATGGCAGAGGGAGGGTTTGAGAATCAGCTCACGTGGCTGATTTTCCCGGCGCCTCCCGGCGCCGGAGGCGGCGATGCATCGAGGAATGGGCCCCTTGGTGGGGCCGAAACCAGCTGCATGCAGCAACTTTCGTACTCCCCCCCTTTCCCCATCCCCCCCTTTCGCCCGGCCCGACAAGCACGGGAGGAGCGGGCCCCCTGCCGGGGACCTCCGCCTCCCAGGCCAGGGGTCGCTCACGACCCGGGGCCTCCTCGGCCCCGGCTCGTATCCTTCGTCTTCGGGCCGCCTCCTCTCTCCGCCCTCTCTTCTTGTCTTCGGGATCTACAGGAGCACGGATGCCAATGAGGAGGGTCTCGCCTGTGAGACTTTCCTTAGGGTCTACGGGTTCACAGATGCCAATGAGGAGGGTGTCGCCTTTGAGGGTCTCTCCAGGGTCCACGGGATCACAGATGCCAGAAGGAAGTTTTTCGCCTGTGAGGGTTTCTTCAGGATCTACAGGACCACAAACGACGATGAGGAGCGCTTCGACCCCCCCTTCTTGGAGACAATGACCAGAGGTGCCACGATCTCGGAGAGCTCTGAGGCCCGCAGGTATGTGATGAGACATGGTGGTGAGGCCCCCGAGGGGGGCCGTGAGGTGGAGCGATATTAGAGAGCCTAGGGTTAGAGGAGGGTACAAAGAGATGGCAGGCGTTAAGTAGGAGCAGGCATGTCTTAGCAATGGTACGTAGAGGGTAGTTGTGCAGAGTCGTCCGTGGGCCTAGGCTCGGGTAACTCGTGCTCGGGCTTGGAGCCTCGGGCGGTGCACCAGTTTTCGGTGAAGCTTTGGGGCCAGCGTCCCCCAGGCGTTTTGGATCCTCCTCTTGAGGATAGCCTCTGGGCCTTTGAATGTCTAGGTGATGGACGAACTTGGCCCCCACGGAGTGTTTCTTCTTCTTCTTCTTCTTCTCCTCCTCCTCCTCCTCCTCCTCCTCCTCCTCCTCCTCCTCCTCCTCCTCCTCTCTTGTTGTATTCAAGACGGCCGTACTGTTGCCTCTCCTTCCTCCACTCTGGCCGCCGCCAGCCCCTCGGCAGCGGCGGCAGCAGCAGCAGCAGCAGCAGCAGCAGCAGCAGCAGCAGCAGCAGCAGCACCGAGGGACCGCTCACGACCCAGGGCTTCCTGGACCCCAAACCGCATCCTTCGTCTTCGGCCACCTCCTCTCCTTCCTCCACTCTGGCCGCCACCAGCTCCGCGGCAGAAGCAGCAGAGGGCGAGCCAGCAGAGGGATGACGAGAGGGGGCCCATGGGGCCTGCGGGGGGGCCTCGGGCGGGGAGGCGGGGTCCGCCAGATCCTCGATGGGGAGCCCACAGACCGAGGTCGATGAGCCGAAAGGCCTCGAACCCCCGATTGTCGTGAATCTCGTCCTTGGCGCAGCGCGCGGCGAGGCGAGCCGTGAACCTGCCAACCCACGACGCGAGATCCAAGCAGCCTTCCGAGAAACAAAAACACAGTTCTAGGCTGCCGGTCCGTGGCTGGCCCCCAGTTTGGGAATCATGCCCGCTTGGGCGTCGCCCCCAACCCCGAACTGCAAGATGACCCCTTCCCGAATCTGGGCCATGGAACTGTTGGGAGGGGAGGAGGAGGAGGAGGAGGAGGAGGAGGAGGAGGAGGAGGAAGCTCCAAGGTGGCTCCAAGAGGGATCTTTTTGGCTCCAAGGTGGCTCCAAGAGGGCTCTTGGCCCGAGATGGCCTCCAAGATGGCTCAATCTGGCCGAAGATGGCTCAACACCACCTTCACCACGCCTCCAAGAGGCCCTAAGGCCGCCCCAGGGCGGCTTCAAGTGGCCACGAAGTCTGTCAAGGAAGCCCCCGAGAAGGCCCCAGCCTCATACAACACGTCTGCGAACCGCATGAATGTTGCATTCTCGTTGCTGTTCGCTCTCGAATTACCTTTGAGGCCCCCATGCTGCTCCACGAGCGCCCAAGAGAGCTCGGAGAGGGGCCCAAGGGAGCTCCAAGACGACCCCACAAGAGCGCTATAACAACGGCCCCAGATCAGCCCAAATAGCGGATGTATTGGCCTCCCAGGGGGCGATACCAATGAAGACCCACCCTCTTCCTTTGACCGCTGGCCTCGAAGACGACCCCCCCAAACGTTACACTTGCCATACTAGAAACCCAGGGGCGCCCCGCGGGCTGCCCAGAGGGCCCCAAGAGAGGCCACGGGCCTGCAGCTTGCTCCGAGCTGACTCCAAGAGGCCCCCCGAGGTCCAATGCTACCATTGGTGGCCTCCGTGCCTCACTGCCCACGTGCTCACCTGCGCCCCTTCTCCCGACACCTCCCCCGACGCGTCGAGCATGCCACCCCGCCGCCCCGCGAACGGCCTTCGGGCCGCCGCCTGGGACGGCGCCCCCCGCCGTCCCTCCCCCCCCCTCGAGGAGGAGGAGGAGGAGGAGGAGGAGGAGGAGGAGGAGGAGGAGGAGGAGGAAGAGGAGGAGGAGGAGGAGGAGGAGATGGAGCCCCGCAGGGGCCCGAAGAAGATGACCCCCGAGACCTCCCAATATGGCCCAGGCCCCCCCCCCCCCGGTGGTCTCAGGACCACCCCCACCAACAGCCCAACAGCACCACTATTTTCCCCCACCATCCGACCGTCCTGTGGTGTGGGGTGCTCGTTTGAATCAGCAGCGCCCTGCGTCCACTCCTCCTCCCTCGTCCTCCCTCTCCTCTCTCCCTCCTGCTCCCTCCTTCCCCTCCTCGTCGTCATTTCGGCACACCCCTCACACGTATTGTTACCCCCGAGGGAACTCCGCCGAAAGCCCGGGTGAGTCAACACGGCGCTACCACGCTCGGTTCGGCACACCCCTCACACGTTACGTAGCTCCCTAGGGAGCTCCACCGAAGGCCTCAGTGGCACAGTCCGCATGGCACCACCGCATCCATTTCGGCATACCCCTCACACGTTTCGTGGCCCCATGGGGAGCTCCACCGAAGACCCCAGTGGGAGGGCTCGCACGGCGCCACCGCACCTATGTTGGCGCACCCTTCGCACGTTTCGTGGCCGCACAGCTAGCTCCACTGAAGGCCCTAGCGGCAAGGTCCGCATGGCGCCGCCGCATCTCTTTCGGCGGCACACACTCACACGTTTCGTGGCCCCCACGATCGGTGAACCCATGAGGAGCTCCACCGAAAACCCCGGTGGGAGAATCAACACTGCGCTCATTTCGCCACACCCCTCACACGTTCCGTGACCCCATATGGAACTCCATCGAAGGGCAGCGGTGGGAAGGTCCGCATGGGCCCAGCGCGCCCAATTCAAAGGCCGCGGTGGGAAGGTCCGCATTGCGCCACCGCGCCCATTTCGGCACACCCCTCACACTTCGTTGCCCCGTATGGAGCCCCACCGAAGGCCTCAATGGCACAATCCGCATGGCGCCACCGCACCCATGTCGGCACACTCCTCACCCTGTTCGTGGCCCCATCGGGAGCTCCACCGAAGGCCCAAGCGGCAAGGTCCGCATGACGCACCCGCACCCGATTCGGCACACCCCTCGCAGGTTTCGTGGCCCCATAGGGAGCTCCACCGAAGGTCCCAACGGCAGGGCTCGCATGGAGCACTGGCTCCCAATTTGGCACCCCACTCACACGTTAGTGCCCCCATCGGGAACTCCACCGACGGCCCCAGCGGGAGGGTCGCATGGCGCACCCGCACCCGATTCGGAGCCCCCCTCACACTGTTCGTGGCCCCATCGGGAGCTCCACCGAAGGCCCAAGCGGCAAGGTCCGCATGACGCACCCGCACCCGATTCGGCACACCCCTCGCAGATTTCGTGGCCCCATAGGGAGCTCCACCGAAGGTCCCAACGGCAGGGCTCGCATGGCGCACTGGCTCCCAATTTGGCACCCCACACACACGCTAGTGCCCCCATCGGGAACTCCACCGACGGCCCCAGCGGGAGGGTCCGCACGGCGCACCCACACCCGACTCGGAGCCCCCCTCACACGGTTCGTGGCCCCACCGGGAGCTCCACCGAAGACCCCAGTGGCTCCAGTTCGCATGGCGCCCCCGCCCCCGACTCGGCACACCCCTTGCACGCCACCGCCCCTATATAGAGAGCTCCACCGAAGGCCCCAGCGAGAGGTTCCGCACGGCGCACCCGCACCCGATTCGGCACGCCCCTCGAACGCTTCGTGACCCCAGAGGGAACCCCATCGAAAGGGCCCAGGGCTCGTGGGAGCATCTTGGGCACCACGGTCCTCTTGCCTGGCTCCCCTCCTCCAGCTCACCTCCCCCGCGGTACTCGCAGCTGGATGCGGATGGGTCTGGCCTCGTGGGGGCTGCAAGAAACTCGAAAACCACAGACGTAAAACGCAGAAAGCAATTCTCCTGAACCTTAGTCGGGTTGTATCCAGCTGTACTTGAACCGTACTAGGATTCGGTCCAACTCTAATTGCATCCCACGAGGGCTCTATCCCGCCTTAATGGCATCCAGCTCGATCCGGCTGGATCGGGCACTACTAGGTCTGCATCCAGCTTTGATGAGGTCTAAGGTGCGCTCGGTCCAGCTCTGATGGGATCCAACTAAGGTTAAATCTGCTCGATCAAGCCTTCATTTGATCCTGCTAGGGCTCGATCCAGCTGAAATAGAATCCGACTCGGGCTCTATCCACCTCTCATAAAACCCTTGTCGAGGTCGATCCCAGCTTCACAGAATTGTGGTAGGGCTGGATACAGCTTTGATAGAACCCTACTATTGCTCGAACCAGCTCTAATCGAATCCTACTAGTGCTGGATCCAGCTCCTGCTAGGGCTGGGTCTAAGTTACAAGAATTCTATCACGGCTCTATCCAGCTCAATCGTCCTACTAGGGCTGGATCCAGCATTTCATCGGGTCCTCCTAGGGTTGGATCCACGGCTCAGACAATCCCACCAGATCTCTGCCCAAATCTCGAGGGCTCGGCCCCCCAAACGGCCTAAAAGCGCCCCCAAACTGCCAAAGCGGCGCCCAAAACAATCCCAAAGGGCCCCGATACGGCCCCAACAAGGACCCAAGATAGGAAACACGAACCGAACATCCGAACCTTACCAAGAGGTCCCCCAGAGGCCCCAATGGCATCAAACAGGCACAACAGAAACTTCAAAACGGCCCCCACGAGGCTTCAAAACTGCCTCCGCGAGGCCCCCGAGAAGCCTCCGACGAGGTGCCAGCACGCACCCAAGAACCTGCGTACCAACAACCCAAACACGGTGGCGGGATGGGCCGGCGATTCGATGTAATCCGACAGTAATGGGATCCTGCCAATGGACGGTCCAGCTCCAATCGCATCCTACGAGCGCTCGATCCAGCTCTGATGGGATCCTACTAGGGCTCGGTCCAGATTTCATAGATTCTCATTCGGGCTTGATCCAACTCGAACAGAGTCCTGCTAGTGCCGAGTCCAGCTCTAATGAAATCCTACTCGGGCTTTATCCAGCTCCAATAGAATCAGACTAAGGTTTGATCCAGCTTGACTTGACGCCTACTGGGGCTCGATCCAACTCTCTTTGAATCCTGCTAGGACCCTTCTAAGGCTTGACCCAACTCTTATATAATCGCATTCGGGCTTGATCCAACTCGAAAAAATCCTACAAAGGGCCAGGTCCAGCTTTCATGGTGTACCTCTCCAGCACCAACAGAATCCTGTTAGGGCTCGATCCAGCTCAGATTGAGGGCTCGATCGACTTCTACTAGAATCCTGTTAGGGCTTGATCCAGCTCGACTAGAATCGTACCGCGGCTCGGTCCAGCTCGAACGAAATCCTACGAAGGTTCAATCTAGCTCTACAAGAATCTTACTACGGTTGGAGCCAGATCGAACTGAACCATTCAAGGGATCGATCCAAGTCTACCTGAATCCTGCTAGGGCTCGATTTAGCTCCAATAGAATCCTACTAAGGCTCGATCCAGGTCTAAACGCATCATACTAGGGCCCGATCGTCGTCGTCGTCGTCGTCGGCGTCGGCGTCGGCGTCGGTGTCGGCGTCGGCGTCTGCGTCGGTGTCGTCGTCGTCGTCGTTGTCGTTGTCACCGTCGCCGCCGCCGTCGTCGTCGTCGTTGTCGCCGTCGTCGCCGTCGTCGTCGTCGCCGTCGTCGCTGTCGTCGTTTGCCACAGGCGGGGGGGGGTGCGGGGCGTTTCGAACCCCTCCCTTGCAATTCGGGGGGGGGCTGGTTCGAACCTCCCATCCCCCCCTTGAACCCCCCCGTGCAAATTCAGGGGAGCCCCCCCTGGTTCGAACACCCCCCCCCATCCCAGCATCCACAGAACGTGCTCTTTCGGAACTCACGATATACATATATCACTGCAGGCTGTGTGCACAAATACGCATGTACATACATCGGCACCACAACCACTGATGACACTGCCTACCTGTATTGTCCAGGCGAACTATTTCTCCCCACGTTAGCTCCGGTTTGCATGTCGTTTCCAATTTCGATTTGCATATCGTGAACCAATATCGCTTGGAATTTCGATTGCCAGTGGGTCGCCGTTGGATGCGAACTTCGATGTGCAATTAGATCTTCGTTTCGATGGGTGGGTGCCTCGGTTTGCTGGTCAATTTGCATGTTGGTTAAAGTTCGATGTGCGCTGTTGACTTTTATCTCGCATGGAAGTTCGAGTTGCATGTCGAATGCATGTCGGTTGCAATGGGGTCAATTGGTTGGGACACAATTGAACAGCGTGCGAATGACCTCACGCCGGGATGCCCGAGCTGCATCAAGAGGACTTGTGCCTCTGCTGTTTAGGGGGAGGGGGGATCGCAATGGGCCATGCAATTCAATCACTTACAATGGAGGCCCGTCCACAAGAAACCTTCCACGAGAAACCCAACCCTGACACCCTTGGACGTCCACTGATTTTTGGTGTGGGTACGCCACGCTATCCATAGCAAAACCACCGAAATCCAAGAAACCCATGGCACCCTGGAGGCAAGCAAGGAGTTTCTTGGCATGTGTCCCCACTGTAAGCCGACCCGACCCCACTGCACGATCTTGGCAAAATCCCTCGGCCCCCGCGCGCCTGGGTATTGCTAGGTGGAGGGGGGAGCTGGGGGCAGGCGAGGCAGGAGGCGAGAGGGGGAGAGGGGGGGGCAAGCTTCCTCGAATTTATGTGCATTTCGATGCCGAGTTCGAGAGCAATTCCATCCGCATTCCCGTATGTGTTTGTAATCGCATTTCGACGTTCATTTCGATCGTCGGTTCGATATGCATGCCGATTGCAGTCCGATGCCGTGCTCGACTTGAATTCTAATTCGTATGTCGATTTGAATTTTGATTGCAAGTGGACCCGAATTTCGATCCGCCCTCCGACTGCCATCGGAATTGCATTTCGATTTGCATTGCCCACGGGACAACTGACGCGACAACCACGGGACACCCCACGGGACAACCCGCGGGACAACCTTGGGACAACCACGGCGTGCCATCGCGAGATGGTATCATAACCTTTTTGCCCGACTTGGTCTTAGCCTTGACCGACACATCATGCGCCTCCCAGAACTTCCTTCGCCTATCTCGCACGCGTGAGACGAATCGACATCGAAACTGATTTCCTGGTTGGTGTCACGTCGCTCCCTCCTCACCCTCCCAACCTCCGAGGGAGGGAGCGCGCTGCATGAAGGGGCCGCAGGTGCAAGGTAGCAAGATCAGGGAGGGCCCCCCCAGATCCCACCCGGGCGCAGTAGCGCCCGTAGCAGCGATAGAGGGGCAACAACCTGCACAAACATAATTTCTCTGAGGTCCGCGCGGCTTCTTGGATCGGCGCTGGACCCAGAAACGCGCCAGGGGCGTCACCAGAGGCGCCGCCATAGGGGGGCCCAGCCGTCGACCCGAGACATCCGCACGGACCTCCGAGAACTTATCTCTATGCCGTCGTGTGGTCTTCTCGGCGGCGCGCACAACGGGGGTAGGGGAGGGGGGTAGGCTTCTTGGAAGGAGGCTGCCTCTCAGAAGGCGCAGCCCGCGCCTCTGCAGACAGGGCCCGCGCCTTCTGAGAACCAGGGGTGCTTCTAGGAGGCCTTCCCCCCCCCTCCCCGCCCCCCCTCTGCGCGTGGCTGCATCTTCGGAGCGAGCCTTCGAGCGCGTGCATGCTCGCGCGGCGGGCCACGCCAGCCAGGCACAGGTGCGGCACCGCGGCAGCTGGCGCCGCCCCGGGCGCCGCGGCCGCGGGCGCCGCGGCCGCGCGCGGCGACGCCGCGGGCGCAGCGGCCGCGGGCGCCGCGGCCGCGCGGGCGAGCCGCGGGCACCGCGGCGGCGCTGCCCCGACGCTCGGCGCGGCCGGGCGGTGGCCGCGGGCGGGCTGGCCACCGGCGGCTCGGCGCGCGGCGCCTGGCCGCCGCCGGCGAGGACGCGCGGCGCGCCCGAGCCACGGCGCGAGGCGGCGCGGCGCAGCGGGGCCGCAGGTGCGCGGAGCGCCAGGGCCGCCTGGGCTCGGCGCGCTCCTCCTCCTCCTCCTCCTCCTGCTCCTCCTCCTCATCCTTCCTCCTCCTCCTCCTCCTCCTCCTTCTCATCCTCTTCCCCTCCTTCCTCCTCCTCCTCCTCCTCCTCTACCCTCTCCCCCTCCTCCTCTCCTCCTCCACCTCCTCCTCCTCCTCCTCCTCCTCCTCCTCCTCCGTTTCCTCCTCCTCTTCGGGGGCCACCTTCCCTCGGAGTAAGGCGACTCTCGAGACTGTGCTGGCGCCAGCTGATCCTGCAGGCCTGCGACACCAAGTGCCTTCCACCTTTGCACCTCGCCCTCCCCGAGTGCATCCACGCCCGCCACCTGAGAGACGCGAAAGAACGGGGTCGTCTGCGCCGACATTCGCGCGCAGGCTGCCCACGTAAGTTCGCGCGTAAGTGCCCTCGTCTCCAGTGTGGCGTGCCGCGCGGGCGGCCCGCGTAAGCCACCGCGCAAGGTCACCGAATCATCTCGCGTATGACCCGTTCTGGATCGTCGCGCAAGTGCCTTCTGCAGACATTTTGGCGTCGTGCTTGAATTGCCCCGGCCTCGGGACCGTCAAATACGGCCCGAAAACAAAAACACTTCCTGGGGAGCAAAAAATCGAGACGCTGGATGTGTGGGGTACATTTCGTTTTCGACGCGCGAACTTACGTGGGCAGCCTGCGCGCGAATGTCGGCGCAGACGACCCCGTTCTTTCGCGTCTCTCAGGTGGCGGGCGTGGAGGCACTCGTTGCCTGGGGCCTCGGGGAGGGCGAGGTGCAAAGGTGGGAGGCACTTGGTGTCGCAGGCCTGCAGGATAAGCTGGCGCCAGCACAGTCTCGAGAGTCGCCTTACTCCAAGGGAAGGTGGCCCCCGAAGAGGAGGAGGAGGAACCCAGCGTAAGCAGGAGGAGGAGGAGGAGGAGGAGGAGGAGGAGGAGGAGGAGGAGGAGGAGGAGGAGGAGGAGGAGGAGGGAGGAGGAGGGGAGGGAGGAGGAGGGAGGAGGAGGAGGAGGAGGAGGAGGAGGAGGAGAGAGGAGAGAGGAGGAGGAGGAGTAGGAGGAGAGGAGGGGGAGAGGAGGAGGAGGAGGAGGAGGAGGAGGAAGGAGGACTCTTTGACTCTTTGACTCTTTGATAGCGGACGCTGTCCTGGGGGGCGATTTAATCACTGGAATCGCTTCCATCCCCAGCCCGCTCAGGCTGGGGCCCCTGGGCCTGGCCAGGCCTGGAGGGAGCCGCGCGGTCCAACAACCCCGCTCCCGTCTGGGCCCCCGAAGGCCCAGCAGCCTGGCCAACCAGGTCGGATCCTGGGTTTTCCGATTGCGGACTCCTGAGCATGGCCGCCACGTCCGCGCAGGCGGCTTCTTCACGAGCCCTAATGGCCTCTAAAACTGCCCTCGGGGGGCCTTCACGACGCGGGAACAAACCTTTGCTTATCCTCGCAAGGTTCTCCGAACCCTTGTTGGTCCGACCGTCACATCTGCCAACTAAATTCCTGGGGTCCACGGTACAATAAGACCCGCACTCCGAACAAATGTGAAGGAACCATTTCTCCACATACTGGAGCCTGTGAGAGGGGTGAACCTTTTTCCAGGAAGCCGCTCCCTCGGGCTGAGGGGGCGAACCTCTCTCCAACAGCGGCCTGGGAGCCTCTCCTGACTTCGGCAGGAGGCCCTGAGCATGTCGTGGCCGCGAAGACCCGCGTTTGGTAGCGGGGAACAACTCTCTCACATACCGTGCACCACCAGTATTTCATGCTGCGACCACATGGCTCGAGGATGTGGTCCGAGGCCTGTGCCGCGGCCACCGACTTGGACGGTCTGGCCTCCTTCTTCAAAGGGGGTCTCTCCGCCCGAGTGTTTTCCTCGGCCTCCGCTGCGCGCGCCAGGGCACGTCTGGCCCTTCGACGAATCAACGAAGCTGTGGCATCAATTTTGTCCGTCTCAGGCTCCCGCCCCACCGGGCCCCTCCACGCCAACTCCGCCGCCTCCCCCGCCCACGAATCAGCGCAGGCGTTGCCAGAGGCATAAAAGAGTTTCTCGCGCGTGTCTAACTTCTCTGGGGCCTCCTCTTGGTGGGAGGGGAACCAAACAACTTCCACATCGAGATTCCTCCTGGCCTGGAAGGCTTTGCGGGCCCTGGTCCAGGGGTCTTCGTTGGCACCCACAGGGTTGGGCCTGCGAAAGCGGGCCCTCCAGGTCCTGGAGATCGTCTTGTGGTCCGTCACAAAAGTGAATCCCAGCGCTGAATCTACTTGCTCTAACGCCAGGCAGAAAGCTAAAACTTCGGCTCGGGGGACCGTTTGCTTTTCTCCGAGCAGAGGAACCCCGAGAGCCTCCCCGAAGGTCCACCCGCCTCCCGAATCGATCACGAGCCCCACGATCGCTGCTCCGCAGCGCCTACGTCTGGGGTCGTCAGAATATTCGCCCCCCGAGCCGTCTCCGAAAATGTGAACTCTGCCTGACCCCGTGCATTCGGCGAAGCCGTGTGACTTAAAATCCAACTGCGTCTGGCCGAGGAGCGCTTCATCGAACTCAGGAGTGGTGAACCCGACGGCAGGTGCTCCTCGAAGCCAGAGGGCAGGCAGCGCCTCGTGCTGCGCCGCCGCCTGCAACACGAGCACGTCCGACTTCACGAAATCCTCGTGCCCTTTGTTCTGCTCACATTCCCAAATGCGGTGATACAAACTCTCTTCTTTGAGCTGGCAGCGCGGACAAAGCTTAGAATCAATCAGGTATCCTTGTCTGGCGCGCCTCACTCGGGTCCATTGCCCACCTGTGGTGGCTATCAGGTTGAGTGCCGCCAAATCTGAAGCTCCTTCATTGTGGAACTTGCGCTGCTCTGCCCTTTTTCTCCATACATCAGCGCCTGGGAGAAGGTCAGCTCCATCCTCATGCTTCGACGCCTGCTGCCAGTACAAACTGTGCATGTCACTGACCACGTCTCCCAAGATAGCAAGTCTCGCCCAATCGTTCGTGTGCTCCGTGTCAGTGCCGCTGGGGATAAGCCAAGCCTGCAACTGTCCATCTGGTAGTGGTCTGTCCCACTCTGTCGCCTTGATGGGGTTCCAGCCTATGTCCATCAGCGTGGCTTGCAGCGTGGCGATGGGGCCTCTGACATAGGCCCACCTCCTCCGTCCAGCAGTGACCAATCGCTGTCTGATCTTAGTCCAGGCTAACTTGACTCTCGCGTGGATCTGAGGATTCATCTGCCACATCGCCAGCCACTCATGAACAACTCGTTTGCGTAATTCCAGACCCGGCTCCTTGTCCCACATCTCAATTGCAAGTGTTGTCGTCAAACATTTGCCTCCTTGAGAGCCTGCTGCGATCTGGCCCGCCTGTCTTCTTAGCTTCATCAGCTCCGTCATGGAGAGGCCGGCCGAACGCTTGATATCCGTATGTGGCCTGGGGCAGGGCGCCCGTAGACCATAGTCCTTTCGCTTCTTTCGCCAAGGTAGTGCTCTTTCTCAGCCTCTTGATCTTGGCGAAGCGTCTCTTGGCTGCCAGGATTCGTCTCTTGAGTGTGCGTACAACTCGTTTGCGGCCAGCAGCTGCGTCGAGGCCCAGGTCCTTCGTGTATGTTTTGGCCTGGGCGGGGGTTCCGTTCAGCTGCAACCTCTTTGCCACGCTCTTGACCATGTCTCTGTTCGAGCCGATGACGACTGTCTTGTCCGAGATCTTGAGCCTCGGTTGACGAAGTCCTTGGGCGAGCTCGCAGGCCACTCTGACCATCTTATCTGGGGTGTCCTGTGCCGTGCCTTCCTCTCGAGCCACAGTGTCATCGACGAATGTCCAGAGTCCAGCCGTCGGTGATATGATATGCGCTCGCTGTAGGATTGGGTGGAGAAAGACCTTCGCGAGGCTGACACCTCTGGGCGACCCCGCAACAATCGATCTGGATACCCATATTGCCTCACTCAGCGACGACTTGTCTTTGAGAAAGCGTGCCGCCGCGAATATGAGTACTTCCATTTCCACTACCACTGCTGGATAGCCGATACCCCTGGCGATGCGCATCAGCAGCACAAGGCTGACGCTGTCGTAGAACTTCTCGATGTCCTCCAGCAGGGTGAGGCTGGAGATGCCCAGCTCGTATCCCGCCTCGTCCAGGCAGGCTCGGAGCAGCCCAGCTCGCAGCGCCGAGCTGCCTTTGAGGGCCGTGTCCCAGTGCGCGCTCAGCGCTTCACTCCATTCGCTGCAAGGTGACGCCCTCGTCCTGCTCCAAAGTTTGACTGGTAGGGGTAGCATCCCCAGCACTCTCTCTCCGCCTGCTGGTTTGGGGACCACGGCCCCAAGTGTAGCCGTCCACTCCCTCGGCCATGTGCCCGTCTGCTCGCACATGTTGATGAGATCGACCAGCTTCTGGCGTGCGCTCTGCGGGGTCCTCTTAATGTCGTGCAACTTGAGACCATCCACACCACCTGCTTTGTTGGGGTTCGTGGCCTGCATCGCCGAGTCGAACTCCTCAATTGTGATCGGGTCCAAGTCTTCTTCTCTGGCCTTTCTGTGCATGACCTGCAGTTCCAACGCGATGTCCTCTCTGGTGTCTACTGCGTCCGTCCATATCTTTAGCCATTTCTGCCTCTTTGTGTGCATGAGGATCTCTGGAGGAGGAGGAGGAGGAGGAGGAGGAGGAGGAGGAGGAGGAGGAGGAG